TTAGTTCGAACGTTGAAAGTATGACACATTGCACTTAGTCCCCAGACGGCGCTGTATTGTTTACTATTTTCATGATCAGAAAGGCTATGAAAAATAAAATGCATTTTTCTCCAATTTTCAAATTTATTCGGTTCTTTTGTTGAACATCAAATGACGGGGGCAAAAAAAGAGACGGTATTCAGCTTTTTCAGGCGCCTGAAACCCCTTTTTTCAAGCCTATATTCTTCTTCTTTGATTACCTCTTACATTTGGCTTCCGGATCCAATCAAGCAACGGTGCAATCGGTTGAAAAATAACTGGCTGATCAGGCGAACCAATAATGGTCATGCCCACGAGTTTGTTATTCTTTTTCGAAATCATTGGACCTCCAAACGCAGAGGGAGTTCCCATGCTTCCATCCAAAGTGTAACACATCAAATGATTTGCATCAAATAAAGGGTGCACTTTCGGTTTGCATTTGGTGCCATTCAAATACTTTGTATCATAACGCCTCATTCTCACTGTTCCATCCAATACCATATCACCGTAGACAGTGACCATTTCGGACGGGTCATTCATTTTGTAATCTTTGTCCACCAAATCGATGCTGCCGACGTTATCGTTGAACTCTAACGGTTCTTTAAGTGTAATCTTTGCAACGTCAAATGCGAATCCCGACAATGCATATTTATCATGAATTTCTATCTGGTCTTCAGTGACTTTAAGTTTTGTCGCATTTATTGATAGTTTATTAACGGTTACATAGACATATGGGGCGCCGAGCACACTATGCGCACAGGTCAAAATCTCCGTTTCCGACAAAATGATTGCATTAAATCTTAGTTGAAAATTTTCGTCGGCATCGGCATGTTTTTTTTTGTAAACAGTAAGAAATTCTGTAATAGAAAAACATCTCAAAATGAATCTTTATGTTTATAAATCATGAAAAATCACCACTTTTGCCTATTCCCAATTTAAAATTAAAAAAAAAGTGACGTTAAAAACGGTTTGATTTAGTTCGAATTTTGAATGCACACTTACTTCCCGGTGCCAATATATCGGCTATAAATTTAGCTTCGTTAGGTGTAAGCGGAGGTGGAATTGGTTTCACGCTCTGAAATTAATGCAAAAAATGATTTTGTTTGCGTTGTTGAGAATAAAAATTGGGGCATTGTGATTAGATACCTTTGGGTCACGAATAAAATCAAGAAATAGAGTAATTGGAAGGAACATTCCGCGGCCACCTGTTGTTCCATTTATACTCGTAGTTATGCCCACGATTTTGCCATTTGTTTTTGAAACGACTGGTCCACCCGAATCGCCAGGTGTAATAATGTTGCCATCATTCGTAGCTTCACCAGTTGTAAAGTACAAAGTCTGACTTATGTTAAATGTGCTGGCTCGTTCGACATCAGACATATAGTTCGCATCGCAACGCCTCAATATCAATGGTCTGATATTTCTCAACACGCCATATCCATAGGCAGTCACCAATTCTGATGGGTTATTCAATTTGTAATCCTTATCCACGAGATCGATTCTACCAACGGTATCGCTGAATTCTAACGGCGTTTTCAGCGTAATTTTGGCAATATCAAATGAACCAACAATTAAATGACTATAATAAGGGTGCCATGCAATGTTCTCTTTTTCGACTTTGATTTTAATTTTCTGGTTTGCATCTGATACATTTTTCGTACCAGCTACCAGATAAACATATGGGGCGTCATCCACACAATGAGCATTCGTGATGATTTCCGTTTTTGAAATAATAAATGCGGTACATGTAGTCAGCATTTCTCTATTAGCATCATTTAACTTGTCTTTGAGTGCATACAAATATTCTGTAATAATTTATTACTAATAAAATCGTTTCATCTCAGCACAATTTTGGAGGAAAAAAAAATGAACACACAAAGGTGGTATAATACAGTAAACGTTCGGAATCTGAAGTTGCACAAATCTTAATCGTGCAGAAAACTTGAGCTATTTTCCGAAAACAAATGTTTTAAGATTTCTGAACGTTCACTCTATTTAATAGAAAACTCACACAAAAAAGGAATAAAAATTATTATAAAGCAGACTTACTTGCGGGGGAATGTATTGCAGCAATGAACTTTGCATGCGACATGTTTTCAACCACTTCACCCTTGAGAAGAGCTTGCGAGAAAAAGCTATCTGTTCATTTGAAGAAAAGTGGAAATTTCGAATTGAAAAATCTTTTGGAATCATAAAATACGTGTACGAAAACAAAATTTGTCTTACGTTTTCCTTGAAGTTCCTAGAAAAAAAAAAATTTCGTGTTTACTTTCAGTTCTACAGAAATATCGTATTTTATTGGATCAAAGTGAAAAAAAAACTTACTGAAAATTCAACGATAAATAGCACCGAAAACAAACCGTGTAGTAGATTCATTTTAATTTGCCAACCAAACAGAGTTTTAACCTGTCGCACAATAATAGTAGAGAACCGTCTTGTACTTCTTTTAGAAGATCCTTTGAATTCGTTTGGTCTTCCCCGTGCGGTGCTGGCTCTTTTAAACCATTCATACATCAATAGCTGACACGTGCCATGCAACGTATAATTGATGAATTTTGGTATTTTTCAGTTATGGAATTTATGAATTGAGGTCTACTAGTCACATTCAGACACTAAATGAAGCTCAATAACAAAATTCCTTTGAAAGATACGTGTAGCTGATACAATTTGTGTAAATTGATAGCAAAAAAATGGAATACGTTCGAACACATTTTAAATTCAGATGTAACTGGTTCGTAATTTGGTTATTTCCGGCTGTTGCCAATTGTTTTAACACTTACTCATTGTTTTTTGTGTACATTTTTGTTCTCCAGCCTGATGATGCTCCTAATAAGAGCGAAACGTCGCACAATAAACGAATAATC